CACAATACTGGGGGGCCGTAATACTGTATTGAAAACGAGACAATGAACTCCCAGGGTGTAAAGATGGTGTCATCATCGGGAAGACTTTAGAGGGAAGATGAGACCTGATCAAAGAAGGCAAATACTCCCAAAGGGCCCTGAGGGGGGTCTATGCCAAATGGGAGGGATGGAAAGGAAAGGGCCATTGACTTGGCATCCCCTTTGAAACAACCTGGGAGATTAATTGCTAGAACATGCACCTGCTTCAACCCTTTGCCTTACCAGCAGGACTTTTCTTCTGTAATTCAATATTCCTCTAAAAAAAAAAAATGCCTCCTCTCAGGTAGTATCGGGTTCCATTCCTCAGGCCAATCAAGCTGTGATTTTCAGCAGGCTGTCCTGAGGAAGGGAATTTGTTCAAAAGTGTGTATTTAGAAAATGCATCACTCAGAAGTAAACAAACAAGAAACTCCCATGTAAATTCCTGAAGGTACAAAAATAATAGTAATAAAAATAATAACCCCACTTTCCTTACTCAATCAAATCAAGCAGCAACAACCAGAAGGAAAACTACCACAATAACTCAGCTGAAAGACGCTCCAGTCACAGGGAAGCCATCATAGCACAGGTGAACGCACACAATGGCAGTCCATTCTGCGTTCCTGAAGTGACTGCGGGCAGCCCCTCACCTGAGCTGGTTAATTTAAGCTCATTCAGAGCCAATGCCAGCCTAGCTGAGCAGCCGCGGGTGTTCACCTGGCTGTGGCTACTAGCTCTGAGCGGGAAAGGACAACTCCAGTACGAAGCCCTCTGTTGCCCTTGAGACTCATTTCCTCCTTCCAGGCCACTCACGTACTATATGGTCATCAGACATAGCGATACTCTGTGTATTTGGGGGCTACGTAGCACCCCCCTCTCCTCTCATTGACAGTGGCCACCCTGATGCACAGGGACGAAACAGAAAACTGAACGCCAAGCAGCTGAGTGAGATAAGGGCCTAAGCAACAAAACAGAAAGCCCCGAATACCCTGACGTCCATCTCTTGGGTCCCACGTCCAGTCTCCTGGGGCACTCCTGTGCTCCTTTTATTCTCCCTCCCTGTCTATCAGGAAGAATCAACTTATTTGTTTGCGTTCAAATACAAATCCTGGCTCTCCCATTAGGAACAGCCCCCACTTCTGGGTAGTTACCACAAAGAAGGTCGAGTAACAATGGGCCAGGAAGGGCTGGGATGGGCAGGACTGGGCAGTGCTCCAGCAGCTTGTGTACACACGCAGGGATGACCTCCCAGGGAGCACCAGCCATCAGGTTAGCAGGAAGACGGCCACCAGGCAGCGATGGCGCGCGGAGGAGGAACGCCATCTGGTGGAGCCAAAAGAGAGTCTCTAGAAGTCGAAAGTCAATCTTTCGCCAAAAGGGAGTAGAGGGCCTCCCTGGTGGCGCTGGAGTTAAAAGTCTCAGCACTATCATGAGTTTGATCCCCTAGATCTGCCTGTTCTACTCCCCACTCAGTCTCTGGTGAATCCTCTCACACCCCCCATCCGCACCTCTGGCCTACACCCAAGTTCTTTTATGCAAAAAATAAATAAAAATAAATCTTTAGAAAGAAAAAAGGGAGAAGTGAAATATCTGGCACGGTGGGAAGAATACCTGAATACAAAATATTAATTCTGGAAAAGAGAGGTCTCAGATGATTTGCTCACTTATTAACTCATAATTTAATATTCACCTTACTAATGACACAAATTAGTTGATGTGGTTTCCCTAGTCAAATTGAGATTTGCAATTACATTCCACAAATTGGAAGTTCACTGTAGTTTCCCTCTAAAAAGCTCTCAGTTCTGTAATCCCACCTCATCTGTGACTGCGGAACCTTTGTTCCTAGTCAGAGATGGCAATGGATGGAATCTCAGAGAACTATTGGACAGATGATCTTTTAACAGTTCCAATAAATTATTTGTTGACTGTTAAAATACGAGACACGGTTCTGGGCACGGGGCTCATAGAATAAACGAGACACACAGTACAATCCCTGCCCTCTCGGAATATATAGAATAGTGAGGGTGGAGGCAGATAAGAAACAAGTAAAAATGCAAAAGAGGTCAGATGAAGATAATTTTTAAATGTAGAGGGAAAGAAGGGTTGTGCGGTGGGACAGAGGTCTCTCAGAAGGTTGTATTTGAGATCCCAATGGGAGCTAGTTTTCTCATGATGAAATTTATTCATAAAGACAACCACTCCAGAATATATATTCTGATAAGCCTTTTTCAAAACTCTTTTGCGGCTCCTTCAGTTTTTCTTTTTGGGAGCTAACTGCTTTTTTATTTTTTTTAAGATTTATTTACCTATGCATACAAGTACTGGGGTGTAGGCCAGAGGTGAGGGTGGTAAGAGGATTCACCAGAGAAGTGGGGAGCAGAACAGGCAGATCTACTGAAATACACTGCTGAGGGGAGCACCGGGCGAGGCAGGAGAGGTCTGCTGCGCCATGTGGGTCAGCTCCCTGTCCCGGGATAGAACTCAGGCTGTAGAGGTGACAGTGCTGAGACTTAACCCCTAGATCACCAGGGAGCACCCCCCCAAATTCTTAATTCTCTTCAGAGCTTACTGAACACTATCCCACCAAAATGTTAGGTTTGACATATGCCCTTTGAGACTGGGTTAGTTTTCAGAAGTACCCCAGAGATGTTTAGGGTCAAAGAAGTGACAGGAAAGCTGGATTATGCTGCAGACCTCTCCTGTCTGGCCCGCTGCTCCCCTCAGCAGTGTATTTCAGTAGATCCACCTGTTCTGCTCCCCACTCTCTCTGATGAATCCTCTCATCCTCTGTACCTCTGGCCTGCACCCGTCCTTCTACACAAAAATAAACACAAAATGTATTAAAAAAAATCAAAAACAAGAAATTAAACAAGGTGGGGTAGAAACTGGAAAAGGATAGTGCTGAGAGGAGGGGAGGATAAAGGAACTAAACCTGAAAATCACTCTAAAGCTCTTTCCCTTTGAGCTGAGCTGTCTAGGACTTACATTCATGTTAGATCTCTGGGGTACCCTCCTTGTCTGTCAAGCCACCCACTTTCTATAAAGCTAGTTTTCCCTATTCCCTGGTGAAATGAAGGAATCTACCAAGGATAAAGCAGTGAAATGACTCAAATTGTTATACTCCTCCACCCCATGACTCCATTCACACACCGAAATTTTTCTGTCAAACCTGTCACTGAAACATGTTAATTGAAAACAGTATGTGTCTTACTCAATCCATTTTGAGGATTCAGTTGAGAGATTCTTTGTGCCATTTATCACACCTATTGTTACAGGTCTCCTTGTCACGCTGCCTTTGTATTTTGTCTCCTAGTAACTGGCCAAGACAAACTGGAGTCTCACTGAAGCAAATCCAGAGAAAAAGACTGTTTTGTATTCCACTGAGCTCGTGAGAACCCTTATTGCCAATACAGATTTGTGTCATAAGAAGTTAAATGAAGCATTATCAAAACCTCTTCCTATACATGAAATCGGTCCTAAAAAGCAACCTCAGTAGCATACTTTTTAGGATATACCAACAATGTCTCTGCACTGGGTACTTTATAAATAACACATATTTTTTTTTAAAGATTTGTGCATACAAGAACTGGAGTGTAAGCCAGAGGTGCAGGGACTGAGAGGATTCACCAGAGTGAGAAGCAGAACAGGCAGATTTACTGAAATACACTGCTGTGGGGAGCAGCGGGCCACGCAGGAGAGGTCTGCTGTGCCACGTGGGTTGCTCCCCAGCTGGCCAGGGATCAGGCTGGCTGGGAATCAACTCCGTGCTGCAGTGTCTGGTGATAGCTTGAAAGCGCTGTCTTTAACCCCTGCGCCACCAGGGAGACCCTAAATAACATGTATTTTTGAGGAAAAAAGTGAAGCTATTTTAATTTTCCTTAGTCTCTGAATGAAACCAAATTCCTAAATCTGTGTACAACTGTCAAAATTTCTGATGTCAGCAATATTTGCTTTAAACTTTGTTTAAGTATCAAAGAAAAAAAACATTTCTTCAGGCGGTCAGGGTAAGCATAGCAAATGTGGTAGGACATGAATATCGCTATTTTCATAAACCTGCCTGGGAAAAGTAAAAAATGCTTAAGTATCTCCAAGATGGTAAAAAAAAATAAAGTGAGACCTGGGACTGTCAATACAATCTGTACCAAACATCTGCAGCTAAATGTCTCTTCTGTCCAGTGCAGAAATACACCTGTAACGATTTCTCATTAGCTGGGAAAATTCAAACTGCCAAATGAGTAATGCTATCATTCCTTAATCCACAATCAGGCTTGCCATACCACTAGTGGTTTGTTTTCTTCAGGGTAAGAAGTTTTCTCTAATGCTACCGTCATTTACTCAATATTGTAAATGGGAGACCATCATTATTTACAATAACCATGGTTATCATGAATACAAAACAGAAAATATTTTCTAAGAAAGACTATGCTAAGGGGCCTCCCCTGGTGGCACAGCAGTTGAGCGCTAGGATGTGAAGCTGCCCACAGCCTCTGCAGCGCCGGTTCGATCCCCGAACGCCGGTGAGGGTGCCACAGGGCTCGCAGACCTCTCCTGCCATGCCCGCTGCTCCCCTCAGCAGTGTCCTCTGTCTGTCTGCCTGTTCTGCTCCCTGCTCTGGCTCTGGTGGATTCTCTCACCCTCCTGCGCTTCTGACTATACCCAGTGCTTGTATAAATAAATTTTTAAAAAAAAGAAAAAGGCCTGTTAGAAAGACTATGCTAAGCCCAGCATGAGTGCTACAGCTTCTATGACTATTCTTATATATTATTTTTCTTTGTAAGCACACAAAGTGGACAGCTAATCTAATTTCAGAATCAAATACCCAGTCTTTTAGAAGGGCTTTTCCATAACCTAAAAACTAAATTCTTCTATCATTAAAATATGGGTCATAATATAATTTATATCCTACCAGTCCTCCCCTTCAATTAGTTGAGGTGCAATTTAATTTCAAAACCAACGCAAAATACTATGAAACATTCAATAGGAAGTTGAACCAAAATATCATGTAATAATTTTAATTGCAAATATATTTATTACAACTTACAGATTAGTTAAGTTATATACACAAATATAATTTTAACTATAAAATTCCAACAAATTGGTTACATTTAAATCACTGTATCTGTAGAAGCCAACTTAGAAGTCTGCTAGTCCCTAACTTCACCTTCCTTAAATTATAAAAAAATAAAATCTGATAGTTTTGATTTCAAGTTAAAGATGAAGGGGTGCTATTATATTTCAACACTCAGAAAAGGAAATCTTACCTGTCTGTACAAGCCTTTCACATGCTACAAGGATACTGAGAGCACCACTGCAAGACTTTGAATGCGTTAAGTATTCAATTAAAAAGTCCAATCTTCTTTTTAAGATTGTGGGGGTTTAAGTTTGCTCTAAAAACTACAATTGGGATGAAATTTGTTAAGAATTTTGGCTTTTTCCTTCAGTCCAACTTTAAAATGTCCTTTCTGTCCTTTTCATCCATCTGACCTCTTAAGAGAGTAAGTGGGGGAATTCTTGACCAAGCATTTACTCATTTGGTAGTAAGGTTGGAATCTCTGGGAACAAGTTTCCAAAATCCAACGTGTAAAAAAGGTATCCCATTTTCAAATTTGCAGAGGTGCTAGGTTTCAGAAACGCAGGATGCAACCTAAATCCCTGAAATAAATGTGTGCTTTAGACTGCTTGAAGAGAATGCTCATACATTTTCAAAAAGACTTTTTCAAGGCAAACAATACCTTCTTCCCAATTGACATGGCTGGTGCTTGAAACTATCCTGTTTTTGTGGTGGCCTACCAAGACTAAATGCATTCCCTGGGAGGACCTAAGGTGGAAGTGCACAAAACACACTGAATAAGGACTCTGCAAAAATCGGACCAGTGTGTTTATGTGACTTTATGGAACACCAGATGCAGTTCTTAGAGCAAACCAGACAGAAATAAAATGACCAAGTAGATTAAAACTGAGGTAGTAAGTCTATAAGCACTTCTGATGACAAATTAGTTCCCACAATGAAACAAGTTAAAAATTAAGAGGGTTATCTCTTACGCTTTCCATTACTTGAGACAGGAGGCACATGGAGTAAAACAGAACATTAAGGGATTGGTTAACATTCTCTTGACCTAACATATGCACATAATTAAATAAGCCTAACAAATTAAATAAGCAAGCACAACCAGTCACTGCAAAAACTTCAAAAGTAAACTCTGGGCTAAAGATAGTAAGACTTTCTAGTTGTTAAATCTACAGCTCTAGCCTTTCCCGTAAGTATAGGCCTCTCCTTAAAATAGAACACAAACTTGGACACTGACTGAAGTCTATATTTTACATTTCAAACTGGAAAATTCAGAACTGTCATTTTCCAAGCTTACAGTGTCACCCTGACAGGTTTTTAAAAGTGACAGTGCTGAGGCATAACATTAATAACACTGGTTTTCTATATTAAGAGTATATACAACAAAACCAAATCGCTCTAAGATGTCTCCTACCTTTTCTCATGTAAATTCTAGGCTTTTAAATTAAAAATAAATAAATAAAAGCCTATGATGCAATTATTACTTTCTGGCATCTTCTACAACTATTTCTACCTGTTGAGAGATACAAAGAACCATTCAACCAGGAACTACAACACACAAGAATCCTCTCCAAAGAACAGTTTGTACAGAAATTAAATATATTAGATGTTAAAATTTGGCAGAAAGATGCAGCTCCCCAAAGTAGCAGCACACTGCATATGTAGGTTCTGTGGCAGTCTTTGTAAATATCTTTAAGTAGAACTTAATCGAGAAATAAAAACCCACCACACATTTTTAATCAGTCATTTTTAGAAGGAAAAAAAAGTGACACAAGGTAATGTAAGTTAAGTTGATAACATATACAAGATGATTTTCTGTGCCTTAGGTAAAAGTGCCAAATTACTGAGCTGGGAAAAAACAGAGAACATGAAAGTCCATTAATTGCAAGATGCTGGGTGGGCAGGAGGAGAGGAGTCCAAAGTCTATTCAGGGACACATAATTTAAATTAGAAGTGTAAATGGGCTTTGAACCCCATAAATATTGTTCCCCAAGAAAATAAATTTTGAAAGTGCAAATTCACACCTTAAAAGGCCCACTTTTCACCTTAGTTAAGTAAATGGCATTCAAAAACATCCCAATAAATAAAGGAAGGGTTAGAAATCACACCATCTCCTCCTTCATTATCAGGGCCTGGCTGCAAACCTGGATATTTCTGAGTGGGACTGTTGCAAAAAAAAGTAAAACTAGGTCACTGCATCCAAGTTGCATATTCTCTAAAATAAAGTCAAAGGGCAGCTGCCAAATTTTTGTTTTTAAAAGAAACCTCTCAAATAAGAGGTAGTGCCTCCATGGACAGAGGCTGTCCAATCATCTTTAACATTGCTTGAAAACATTAAATCCCATGCAGCATGTTTCCTGGAGCCTATTAAACATTCTTTCTCTGTGCTCAAATGTCAAGCAATAGCCAATAGCATCTTCTGTTTCTTGAATTCGTTTCTGGAACCTGCATCCATCCCGTGCAAATTCTTCCCATGGTCCTTTGCGATCCTCGTCACCGCTTATATAATACTCAGTAACTTCCTCAAGGAAGGTTACCTATAAAGACAAAGATGAATTTTAATTTAGTCTGGAGTGGTGCAAGGTAAAAACTGTTTAACTGATAGCATTCCATGACCAGAACAGGTTTCACTCTATTAATTTTCATTTTTTTTTAAATCTATTTATTTACGCATACAAGAACTGGGGTGTAGGCCATAGGTATGGAGGTGAGAGGCTTCACCAGAGACAGAGTGGGGAGCAGAACAGGCAGATCTACCGAAATACACTCCTGTCTGGAGCAGCAGGCCAGACAGGAGAGGTCTGCTGTGCCACATGTGGGTTAGTTTCCCTGGTGGGGATTGAACACGTGGCAATACCTGACAGTGCTGAGACTTAACCCCTGGTGCCACTAGTGAGGCCCCGACTCTATTAATTTCCTAAGTAACAGATTACCACAAATTTAATGGTTTGAAACAACACACATTTATCACAATAAAGACTAATTTCAATCACTCATTCTTATCATACAATCATCAAGGTAATTAACCCTTTTGTTACTAATCCTTTCAGACTATCAAATCTCTTGTAAGAGTATTTGGCAGCAACTATAACAGAAATTTTAAAAAAGAATTAATTTTGACAGGATGGCATTTAGCAAAAGCTGCCTTAATTTCGCACACAGTCCCATCCCCCACCTGTCACCTTTCTGTTCCTTCTCACCTCTCTTGACTTTGTGTTAATAAAATGAATCCAGCTAATCCAGCTGGGAAAATGTAATTTTTCCTGTTATTAATCTTTACTTTTTTTTTTTTTTAATCCTGAGGGGAAGACTATTCTATGATACTCTTCCCCAAAATGACAAACGTTCCCAAAGAAGTATTTCAGAAATGCATTCCTGAAGTTTATGCTTTTATTATAGCACCAAAGCTTTAAGAGGCTCTTCACTTAATTTTTATTCTTTTTCCTTTTAAAAAAAGTTCACTTTTCAGTACTTTCCAATTTCTGAATCATGAACATGTAATTTATTCTTATTATTACTTTGTTAATCAGAATATACAACAGGAAACTACTTAGTAAAGGAAGTATAGCAAAATTTACAAATCTTGAAATGTTATTCTAGAGATTTTGTAGTCAAAACCCTCTGTATTCCTCTACAAATGCTATCACTATATATTTAAAAATTGTGACTGAGTCTTTTAATCTCTACTTAATTTCTAATAAAAAAGTTTCTAAGATTGAAAACTCCAAAAGTAAATATTATACTTGCTTTAAAGTATGTTCAATGGTTACATCAGCTAGTCCCACTGTGGCCTCCTTACTTTCATTCCCTTTACATCAGGCCAAGGAATGCCCCAGAGGACAATTAGGAGGGATGTAACACCTTACTAGATATTGCATTCTAGTGTTACTCATTCCCTGTGTCACTAAGATAAATAACAATAACAACAACAACAACATGGTGTCTGCCATATGCCAGGCTCCTCTGAAAGCACTTTGTAACTTTCACCTCACATAACCCTCACATGATCCTAAAGGTTGGGCTAGAAAAGGTCTCTAAAGGGTATATGATCTAGTACCTCCCCCTGTAGAGTTCAGGAAATAGAAGCAGGCCGGTTAACCCACTTGTTAGAATCAATCAGCTTCTATGAAGTGTAAGCAGGATTCTAACACTTGAGTCTGGCTCCACAGCCTGCACCATGTTATGCTCTAAAATAAGGCATTTTAAACTTGAATTCCCGAAAGCCTCATTTTAAGAATTAGGCATCACCCATAATTCCCATATATGTAAAGTATGGCAATACTGTGACTTTAAACATTATCTTTAACAAATGTTACTTCTAGTTCATAGTCAACAGTCTCAGCATTTACTTCACTCCTCTCATTTTGACCCAATGAACAGGATGCAAAGAGAATAGCTGGAGGTCCTGAATTATAAGTACTATTTAAAAGTGAGGCAATGGATTAAAGAGTTTTGTTTATCTCACTTAAATCATGCACTAACTCTTATAACAAATATTTTTATTACTATTCCGATCAGATAAATGAGTGAATCAAGGATATGAGGAGTTCCCTCCCAGCTCTGGCTGCCTTCCCAAGTCTCACGGCCCTAAACACTCAGGTGCAGGCAACGCAGGTCTCCAGATGCCAAGTGTTCATTTCTTTGCCCCACTTTGCTTCTTACCAATTTACTCTTAACGGGTCACTTTACCAGAGACCCCTTAAAAAAAAAAAGAGAAAAGCTCTTTTATCATGGTATTAGTGAAAGTATGAACTAAAATTCAATTTTTAACATGACTTACTCTGCTTCTACAGGTTAAGAAATACGATTTCCACCATTTACAGACCTTTTCAAGCCCAGAAACAGTTTCAAAGTATTAAGCCGGCCATATGGAACCAAGAGATTATGGCACTGCCCACTTGAATCACCCTGATACTGCAGAACCTGAGATCAGCAACAACACACCCACTTCTTTCTCTAAGTAACAGTAGAGGTAAAGAAACTTGGTGAGCAAAAGTCACCCTGTGTGTTTGGGGGAGTGCTCTTCAATTCCAATTAGCAACTTTTTAACTGAATGAAGTGGGGGGGGGGGGGCAACTCAGAAGACTCCCAAATAAGACTACTTTGCCAATGTGATGAAAGAATAAAAATGCTCCACAAGGAGATAAACTAAGTAAGAGATTATCATTGTTTACATTTGACTATTAACCCGTTGCCGGCCAATGGTAACTAGTATTGTATTTTAAAGACAAGGCAATACTACTTCTCTCCTGTTTTCTGTCACTGTACCTGTCAAAAAGTTCTTAAGGCTGAAATTAATATTTTCTTCCACAGCAAAAAAACTAAATCTGACCTGCGACTTGGAACCATCAATCCTTTAGGTTCTAATAGGCTGGAATGAAGACACTGTTACCATGTGTACCTAGTATTAAGGGTCTGCAGGTGAATCTGAAAATTCTATGGCTCTAATAGAAATTTCCCAATCTCAAGAAAAATTAAACCTATCAAAAAAGTCTTAATTTTGTCTGTTCCTTAAAAAGGGTATAGAAAGAGCCCACCGCTGCCAACCCAAGTGCAAACAATACTTTGCTGCTACCATCTCCACACTGGCAATTTCCATCTGGAAGGTCTGACACTCCGTGAGGAGAAAGGGAGGGGCGGGGAGTTCACTTCTCAATTCATGTGTATGAATTTAGAGGCCTTTCTAAAAAATATGCACTACTAAGCCTCCAAAACAGTTACGTGGCTATATTTTACCATTCAAAACAGTCAGAACAAATTATCAGGCAGGTTGAAACAAACCTTTTTTCTCTTGATATGCGTGTGTCTTTCTCCAGAAAGAACCCCACCCTGAACCAAGTCTGAACTTTCACCTTCGTGGCTCCCTAATAGCTGGATCTTACAGGAAAGTAAAGTGTGACACTCAGTAATGGCCACAGTGGACTCAGACGACCTCTCTGAGACACAACAGCCTTTCCACTTGTTCCCTGATGTCTGAAAAGGAGCCTTAAAATTTAAAAGGTTGTAGGGGTCATCGGAGTTACTGAAAGAGTTCCACAGTCTGAGACTCTCTGCTTCATCTGCACTAGATTCCCAGTCATCTTCCTCCCCAGAATTAGGGCCAGGGGACTCGGGAAGGCTTCTGGTCAGAGGAGAAGTCTCTGCATCAGATTTGTCAAATAAATTCTCTGAGTCACAAGGGTGTCCAGGGACAATTGTGGCAGCAGTCTGGATGGTTGCTGTAAAGTTTTGGGGATTATAAGGATCTACACTGTAGAAAGAATTCCAAAGGTGAAGCCCTTCAGAGTCTTGTTCAAGGTCTGATTCTGAGAGTGAGCTGTCACTATTAAAACCATCATCCTCAGCGTCCTCATCCCAATCCTCACCCTCTGAATCAGAACTTATTTCCAAGTCACTGGATGCACCTCCCATAATGTAATCTATCAGCTTGTTACTGCACGCTGGCCTGGCAGAAACGGGGAGGTCATCTTCTATGTCCGAGGAGTCAGCTACACTTACTTGGTCTTCTTCAGGCTCTCTGGCCATAGGTGTCTCATAAGATGGACAGTTATCCGAAGGGCCCCGTTTTCCCAAAGCAAGTGGAACCTCTTTGGTCAACAATTCTGTGTTCTCCTCGATGGGTTCCTGGGCGGTTCTGGGAAGGGCTCCAGAAGGAGTAACAAACTCTGTGGAACTCTCTCTGCCGTGTTTCAGGTCCACGCGGAGAAGGCTGTGTTCCTCCTCCAGGCTGTGGTAGCCATGATCTTGGTCCGGGGTGGGTAACGCTTGCACTTTGCTAGCCTGCTGAAGGAATTCCAGCCGTTTCATGCGAAGATGGTGGATTTCAGGCAGGCCTTCCCTAGAGAGAGGTGGACATCCCTGCCACGAGCCTCCAGTGATTTCTGCATTTAGAGGCTGGGGATGAGAATGAGCCTCAGTCAGGCAGCTGCTCTCCGCGGTGAGCGTCTGTAAATCAACTAGCTCACCACCGGCCAAGCCGTTCTGATAGCTGAGCTCTGCCCGGGGCAGGCAGTCGAGATAGGAAGTGCTCAGCAAATAGGAGACGACGTTGAAATTGCTTAAGCGCTCAAAGTTTAGCGGCCGGGAGGGCGACGAGCCAAGTTCCCGGTCAGACAACAGACGCGCTTGAAGGCTACTGGGCAAGAGTTCCATCCCCCACAGCTGCCGCTCCAGGAGAAAATCATGTGCGGCAGGGTCCAAAGCTCTTCCCTTGTGTTTCAGTTCCAACTCGAGATCCGCGGACCGGCACTGCCAGTGGATCCCCTCCTCCAGCCAATCAATGGGGCTGGTAGCCGAGTCGTCGGAGGGGTCCAGTACCAGAGAACTTAAGGATTTCTGCGCCTTGGGGGCGGCTGGCTCCTCCCCTGCCCGCAGGGCTCTCAGGGCGCTGTAGCCTCCAGCAAAATCTAACCACCTGGTCGGGATCATCCCCCCGAAAAGTTGGCTCCAAATCAGCAGCTTCTGAAGCAAACTGGGGAGAGGTGCAAAGAGCTGGAAAAGCAGCTTCATCCAGTACCTGGTTCGAGCTTCGGGCTGGGGAGAGATCAGTTTGGGGTTGGCAGGATGTTCCTGGACTGGAGGCGTGGGGAACTTGGAAGAGACCGGTTGAGAGCGCCGACGGAAGAAGAAGGGCAGCCGGAACCCGGAGCCCGCCGGAGGGGCTGACCGTTTCCGCGATCCGTCTGCTCCCGGCTCCATGTCCTCTTTTCCGGGCAGTCTCACAGGGAGGGACGCGGAGCTGGGCGGCTGGAAGGGATTCGGAGAGGCCTAGACAGTCTTGGCCTGGCCTAGAGGCGGAGTCGGGGTCCCGGGCCGAGCCGCGGGCCAGCAGAGGCGCCGCAGAGGAAAGCGGCTTCGGCAGCAGGGGGCAGACCTCAGTCCGGAACAGCGCGCGCGGGCCGCGGCGGCAGGAGCCACATACATCCTGGCGGGAAGGAGGCGTCCTAGTTCTCCGCGGGCCTCGCCACCATAGATAGGAGCCCTCCCGCGGCGGCGGCGGCGACTTTCCGGAAGAGACGGGCGGTTCAAAACCCCTGACGGCGCGACCCCGGAAGGGCTGGGCCGACCGGCGGGCAAAGGTGGAAGCGAAGCTCAAAATGGCCGCAGAGCCAGCGCGGAGCAGGACTCACGAGCTGCGCGCCCAGACGGAGGGAGGGCGCCGGCTACGCCACCAGCCCCGCGCAGACGAGCGTCACTCGCTGGCCGCACGGGCGGGTGTCTCCGCGCTCTGGCGCGCGGGCGCTGATTGGCCTTCCGGTCCCCGTCGGCCTGCTCTCGGCAGACCAGACCCGCGCGCCGGAGGTTGCATCAGCCTGACCCGGCCTGTGCGCGTGCGCATTGGTTTCCCGGCGGTCTCCTTGGAGACCCCGCCCCGCCCCTGGACTAAAGGGAGCGATCTGCGGAGGTGTTAGCGTTTCTAGAGAACCAGAGAGTTCCCTGGAGTCTCTGTAATGGCCCATTACATCCCCAGGTGGAAACATTTGCCTTGGGCTTGCATTATCGGGGTTCCAGGATTGTTGAGTGCTAAATAGGTCATCATCCTGAGCTCTTAGTGTAAGAGTTGGGCGTTGCTGTGTAAATACGTATGTAGAGCTAAAACTCGAATATCTGGAGTGAATTATAGGAGTGAAATTTTTATGCGGAAAAACGAATCAACCTTATGCATTTCTGCACCCTCAGCTTTAGGGTTTCTAATCACTAGCTTTGCCCAGGATCTAGTTTTGAGGCCTTCGAGCGCCCTACCTACATACAATCTCCACCACCCCCTCATCCTCCCAGCCATCAGCTTGTTTTTTTCAGGATTGACTAGCCCCGTCAGTGGACAAATGAATAAGGGATATTTCTACAGGCAACAAATCGTTTTTAATATCCTGAGACTCCAGAACCACAGGACACAAAACCCATAGAAGGAAGCACAGACCCCCACCACCATCCTCTGAAAAAATTGACCGAAAATCTTAGTTGCTATATTTGATTCTCTCTTGTGAGTTTGGTCTTAGCTCACGTCCTCATTTCTGCTAAAAGTTTTTAATCAATACCCCTGAAACCAAGTATCTCTTACAGAGAGGGGATAGCAGTAATGAGCACTAGGGACGTGGAAAGATCTTTTGGGAGGCCGGAGGAGGCCAGCATATCCTCCTACTTAGGGGTTGAAAGAGAAGCCGCTTCTTTCTAGGAAAGTAGGAGGTCCTCAATTTATGTGGTGTATCCTTCTGATCTATTTTCCATATCTCTGGAAATTTCTTTTTCAGTTCCAAGAACTTCAGAAAAAATGTATTAGTAATACGGGCCTCCCCGGCGGCGCAGCGGTTGAGCACTGGGTTGGGAAGCTGCCCGCAACCTCTGCAGCGCCGGTTTGATCCCCAGCCACAGGCGAGGGTCCCATATGGCGCGCAGACCTCTCCTGCCGCGCGCTGCTCCCCTCAGCAGTGTATTTCGTCGGTCTGCCTGTTCAGTTCTCTGCCTGTTCAGTTCTCTGCCTGTTCAGTTCCCCGCTTGGCTCTGGTGATTTCTCTCATCCCGCGCTTCTGACTGTACCCAGTGCTTGTATAAATAAATAAATTAATCTTTTTAAAAAATGACTTTAAAAAATGTATTAGTAATAGAAGCCAGTTTAATAATAGAAAAGAAATCCAATTGTGCAAATTGAGTACTTAAAGCCTCAGTTTCTTCCCTTGCAAAGTGAGACCTTCATCTTTCAAAGAATTGAGAAAAGTAAGTTCCTGATACCGTGCCTCGCCCAGAGTAGGGGTACAACATCTGTTAATACTGTGTTAACTCTACAATCTTCAATTGTTTCCCATCACCCACAAAATAAACATACACCTCGTGCCCCTTTTCCAGCCCTCTCTTCAGCCACTTCTCTCATGCCGGTTATACTCTACAAACACTGGGCTTGTCTCAATCAAGAAAGTGATAGAAGGGGGCCTCCCTGGTGGCACAAGGGGTTAAGACATAGCCTATGAAGCTATCTGCAGCCACTGCAACATGAATTCCATCCCTGGCCAGGGAGGTGACACACATGGCACAGCAGACCTCTCCTGTCTCTCCTGCTGCTCCCCTCAGCAGTGTATTTCAGTAGATCCACCTGCTCCTCACTCTGTCTCTGGTGAATCCTCTCACCCCCTGCACCTCTGGCCTGTACCCAATTCTTGTATTCATAAATAAATAAATCTTGAAAAAAGAAAAAGAAAGTGACAGAGGACTAGGCAGGAAGGGAAGGGCACCATACCTAGTATAGGAATCTGCACATCCACACCCAGCACAGGCTGCACCTACACACTTGGTGACTAATGATCTGTTTTCTTTAAATTAAAACTCTTGTTTGAACAGAGATTCCTGCCCCCATGATGCCCAAATGAGTGGTGGACATTGAAGTCATCAGATGTACCAGGGTCAAGATAACCTAGAACCCAGAACCTGGTAAGTTCTGGGAGCTGAATGTAGGGAATTCCAAGAACACCAACTATGACAGGCTATTTGCTTATGACTAACTGTCTTTGTCTAACTCATAAAAAGGCCAGCTTGAGATGAGATGGCAGAACGGTCTCTTCAGAGTGCTATGCCCTCCGTCAGTCCTCTCAGATCAGTGGCCACTGATCTGAAAAATAAAAGTACTTAGAGATTCAATTCCTGCTCGTGGGCTTTTGGCCAACAAGTGACAGGCAGCAGAACCCAGGCCTATTGCAGTAACATAAGCCCTCACCTCCCTGGTTGTATACCTATTGAAGCTTCAAGGACCAACTCAAATGTTAACTTCTTGAAGTCTGCTCACTTTCCCTGTCAGAATTAATTCTTTTTTTTTTTTTTTAAGATTTATTTATTTATTTATTTATTTATTTATTTATTTATTTATTTATACAAGCACTGGGTACAGTCAGAAGCGTGGGAGGGTGAGAGAATTCACCAGAGCCAGAGCGGGGAGCAGAGCAGGCAGAAGGACCGAAGTACACTGCTGAGGGGAGCAGCGGGCGGCAGGAGAGGTCTGCGCGCCATGTGGGACGCTCCTCCGGTGGCCGGGGAGCAGCCGGGGATCAAACCGGCACCGCAGATGCTGAGGGCAGCTTCGCAACCCAGCGCTCAACCGCTGCACCACCGGGGAGGCCTCAGAATTAATTCTTATACTACTAGCACACTTACCACCCTGCACTGTCTATACCTGTAAGTGTTCTTCTCTCCTGCTGGTCTCAGCTTCTGAGGGCCGTATCCCAGTACCTAGCTCAGTGCTCCCAAAGTATGGTTAGAACATGCCTGGGATTCCATTTTAAAATCCTTGCCAAGAGCGGGCCTCCCTGGTGGCGCAAGGGGTTAAGCACTGCACTATGAAGCAATCCCCAGCCTCTGCAGCACAAGTTGGATCCCCAGCCGGCCAGGGAGAAACCCATATGGCGAGGCAGACCTCTCCTGTCTCAACTGCTGCTCCCCTCAGCACTGTGTTTTTTAGTCAGTCTGCCTGTTTTGTGCCCCACTCCGTCTCTGGTGGATCCTCTCACCCCCCCACATCTGTGGCCCGTGCCCCAGCTCTGGTATGGATAAATAAATAAATGTTTAAAAAAAAAATCCTTGCCGAGGGTCCAGAAGGTCAAAAATATTTTCATAATAATTCTAAGTAGGGCCTCCCGGTGGTGCAAGGGGTTAAGCACAGCACTGTGAGGCTATCTGCAGCCTCTGCAGCATGAGTTCGATCCCCAGGCTGCCAGGGAGCTACACACATGGCACAGCAGATCTCTCCTGTCTTGCCCACTGCTCCCCTCAGCAGTGTATTTCAGTCAATCCACCTGTTCTGCTCCCCAATCCGTCTCTGGTGAATCTTCTCACCCGCCGCACCTCTGGTCTGTACCCAGTTCTTGTATGCATAAATAAATAAATCTTTAAAAAAAATAATTCTAAATAGCTGCCATTCGCAGCTACATGGATGGAGCTGGAAGGGATCATGCTCAGTGAAATAAGCCAGAAAGAAAAAGAAAAATACCGGATGGTTTTACTTATAGGAGGAATATAGAGGGTCCAAATAAGGGATCAGGAAAAAAAAAGTAATTATAATAAAGTAAAAATGAAAATCAATGGCAACTATAAACCAGAGACATTCTGCAGGGGGAGAAGGCAGTAGGATCAAAACAGGGGAGGGAAGGGCAAAAGGGACTATGGCAATGGTACATGGGTAAATGGGTGGTGGGAATTTCACGGGGACTGTAACCAAGTAGAGAAAGCATATATTGTACAAAAATGAAGAATGATGCAAAAAACATATAAAAACAAAATTTTTAAAAATTCTAAGTAGCTGTTTTCCTCTTTAACTCATTTTTTTTTTAAGATTTTATTTATGCATACAAGAGCTGGGGTACAGGCCAGAGATGCAGGGGTGAGAGGATTCACCAGAGACAGAGTGGGGAGCAGAAGAGGCAGACTGACTGAAATACACTGCTGAGGGGAGCAGCGGGCGAGACAGGAAAGTTCTGCTGCGCCATGTGGGCTGCTCCCAGGCCGGCCAGGGATCGAACTCATGCTGCAGAGGTTGCAGATTGCTTCATAATGCATTGCTTAACCCCTTGTGCCACCAGGGAGGCCCTAACTCATTTTCTTGTGAAGGTCCTGTGGTGTCTACTAGAAGGTACATGATGCCTGAGGTGGCAACAGGTTTTTTTTTTAATTTTATCTATTTATTATGCATACAAGGACCCCCAAGATGGGGGTGGTGGTGAGAGGATTCACCAGTGACAGAGTGGGGAGCAGAACAAGCAAATCTACTGAAATATACTGCTGAGGGGAGCAGCGGGCGAGACAGGAGAGGTCTGCTGCACCATGTGGGTCAGTTCCATGGCCTGCTGGGGATCGAACATGCTGCCATGGCTGATGATAGCGCTGTGTCTTTAACCGCTGCACCACCAGGGAGCCCCCTGGCAACAGATTGAATGCAAAAGCTAATATGAGTCTAATGTCTCTCATTAAGTCAGATATTGAATACATTTGGGGGAAAGTATAAAACAACGCTGCTCTTATTGCTTATTTTTTTGTTTTAAAAAATAATTTTTCACAAAAATTATTGTTAATATGGGTATATTATTTTTTAATGAAATGTATTTTAAACTCCTCAGTTTTGAGTTATAAAATAGTAACTATTAATTGCCATAATCCACATAAAAACAAGTTCTTTGGGATCTCAA